GCCCATCACATCAGCCATATGTCCACTGTCTCACCAGGGAGAAGGTGGGATGGGGAGGGAGTGCACCTGCTGCACCTGCCCCTTTCATCAGGAAGTCCAAAGCTTGTCATATATGGCCATCCCACCTGCAGAAGAGGCTGGGAAAGTGGGCGTCTATAGCGGAGCTGGAGGGGATAGCGGTGTGTAAATGGCTTTTTATAGTCCATTACCAGGTCCGCCACAAGTTACTTACCTCTCCCTATGCCTGAGTTCCCTGATCTGGAATATGGGGATAATGAAATATGTACCGTGTGGTGACCTCATGAAGGTTTAGTGAAACGATCTGCTTAGAACAGAATTGGCATAAAATGAGCAACAAGAGCTCAATACATACAGGTATTGCAGTAGATGCTATGAAAGACTGGCTCCATGAATGAATTAAAGAACCACTGGGTAGGTTCACAAAGGGACTCTGCTGAAGATGCTCATACTTGTCTGAAGAGAAAGAGCTAACTGGAGAAGCCAGTGGGGAACTGAGCAATGTGGCTCAGCAGTGAGATCCTCCAAACACTCAACAGTTGGCTCCACCAGAATCAACCCAATGGATTATTATTTCAAGTGCTCCTTTCACTCTTGGAGCCCCTAGCCTCAGCTCAAGCACTAAGTGGGTCCCACATTCAATTTTCTAAATCAGCCCCTCATTATCCACCTTAAGCCTGAAGATGGGTAAGAGATGGAGTCAATGAGTGATAATAATGATGATCATAGGCAGTGTTCTAAGTACATGCAATTAATTGCTCATTCAGTTTACTCAACAACCCTCCCAATATAATTCCTAGTGTTATAATAATAGATTTATTATTCATTGATAGTAAACCTGAAAAATAATATCTACTTGTCAATAAAAAACATCAACTTTGTAATGAACAGTTGTAAACAATGCCAACCCAGTCTGAGAAAGATGAAAAAATAAGTTGGGATTTTTTACATATGTCCTCTCCTCTGTATGGACTCTCAAGGAGTTAAGTCCAAAAGCATATAACTCTAGTCCATGTTCCTGAGTATCCCATTCCCACCAGGGACGTGAACTATATGTACCTTTATATTTAAGGTACCTTTATATTTAAGGTACCTTTATATTTAAGAGGTACAGCAAGGACAGGAAGCAGGAAGCACTGCAGAAGTTGAGATGAGAACTCACCAACGGTGGGATAGTGGTGTGGGTGTGGGTGTGATTACAATGTATACAAAGAACAGAGACTATATCATGATTCCAGAACAAATGGCTAAATTCTACTCATAATGCAACTGAAAAAAATCTATATGGATGTCTGCTGTATGTAATGGGCAGGCATTAATTCTACCTGATGAGCATTCATGGATGCGGAACGTTCATCCAACCTTCTGTTTGTAATGACATTTTATTTTCCTTTCGGTATCATCCTACTCTGCTACCAGTGAATGTGGCTTAGATGGTGCTGATCTCAGACCACAAAGTCAGGCTTCACAGATGAGCCCACAAACCAAATATGGCCCATTGATGCCAGTGGCATGTCCTCAAAGACTGATTCAAGTGAAATAAATGCAAACAAAGGAAATCAAAGAGAAAAGAGTAGGATAAGACAGATTCTTGGGAAAGATTTCTGAGTTTCTGAATCCAGCTATATCTGTGTCTGCTATCTTTAGAAATTTCGATATATAAAGTAAACTGTTTTACTTAAGCCACTTTTATTTGTAAGCCAACTTAAACTGAAAGTCTTGACAAATACACGTGAGAATAGGCAACATGCTAGGCTCTAAAATGAACACCAATCTCTACCCTATAGAAGCTCACAGCCTTCAAGGAAGACACCGCAATAATTTTGCCTAACTGAGTTTCAAGGGAGGTGACTTTATTTCTCATAACAACCAATCACAGCTGAACCAAGCTTGTGATTTTATCTCAAATACCTCTGCAGCTATGTTTCTTCCTTTAGTTTTTGCCTATGTGACTGAGATTTTTGCAACGATGTTTTCCAGTGTCCATTAATGGCCTCCCCCAAATCCCAAAGGCAATCCTATCTGCCTCTGACACAATGAGAAAGCAGTTTATCCTGTTAAATATTACATTTAAATCATTCCCTGATGCCACAGACTGCTAAAAATTCACCATCTATCAAAATACAAGTCTTTTATTCTGCTCCTATTTGTGAAAGCTCTAGATTTTATGTCTTGAAAGCATATTTATATTCCTTTATGAAGATGAGTTTCCATTAATGTTGCACACTAGAGCAGCATCAGTGAAAATGGTAGAGTAAGGACATCCGAAAATTCTCTCCATAAAAGCAATGAGAAAATTGAAAAAGAAAAATTCAAAATCAACTTTTTTAGAACTCTGGAAATAGGGGCACCTGGGTGGCTCAGTCATTAAGTGTCTGCCTTCGGCTCAGGTCATAATCCCAGGGTCCTGGGATCGAGCCCCGCACCGGGCTCCCTGCTCTGTGGGAAACCTGTTTCTCCCTCTCCTACTCCCCCTGCTTGTGTTCCCTCTCTCACTGTGTCTCTCTCTGTCAAATAAATAAATAAAATCTTAAAAAAAAAAAAAAAAGAACTCTGGAAATAAAAGAAAGTCTTATGCAACCAGGAGAGCATTTATTCAAGAAAAATGGCTGAATCTTGGTTTAAAAAAAAAAGAGAACTTTGTGGCATTTTAACTTGATTTATTCCCATCCCCTACTTCTCAGCCCCACAGTAGCTTTAAAAAATTATAGCCCACGTTCACAGTCAAAACCACTGGATTTGCAGTACAAAAGCCACTGGACAGAGCAGATCAGGGCTGGAGAGCTTTCAGACCCTAACTCCCAAAGAACTTCCATTACTTGACTTGTCTGATAGCTCCCTGGAAGATTCCCACTTGCAAGGCTGTCAGTATTTGACTGGACTCTGAGTTCACCCAGTGTGAAAAGCTTTTACCCTAGAGGTATTTGTTAAAAGCAATTGTAGGCAATTGTTTAACTTCATAGCTTCCTGTGGGTGGTGAATAAAGTTTGGTGCAAAAAAAACCAGACCAACCCAAAAGCTTAAAAGGAAAAGATGATGAATGAGATATGCAGAGGTGCTTTGAAAAGCTAATACCTGGGGAATCTATAAGACCATGCTTAACTTAGAGCTGTGTGAATGCCCAGGACTGTGTTCATACTCAAAAAAGACCTGAGAAGGCTCTAAGTTCTCACCTCTTGTTGACTTTGAGGTTCTATGAAA